GAAAGAGTAAAACAGCTGAAATCTGAAAGACAGAGTGAGCTCTATTAAAATCAAAGTCAAGATATCTCAAATAAAATGCTTGAGAATAGAGTAAAGCTGATTACATCTATTCTTCTAACAAGTATTGAAGAAAATATTTCAAAGAAAAAGTCTTCTGAGTATTTCAAATCTTAATGAAATGAGAATATCACTTCTAAAAGAAAGCAATTAGTCACTGCTGTGAGAGATTGAAAGAATAACTTAATATCTAATGAAGAGTTCAAAGCTATTTGAAATGAATATTTTTCAGATATTAAAAAAGTCAAAACAGATTACTGAAACAAATTTCTTGAAGAAGTATAAGAAAAAGAAGTTTTTAAAGTCTTCAACTATACTAAAACAAGAAGTGTAGCAAAGCTTTCAATCTTAGAATATGAATTTCAGAATGAATTGTATACAGCAAACTCTTTTAAGAAAAAATATCAAGCTTTTATAAGAATTCTCTTTCAAAACTCATCACATTTAGAAGAGAAGAATATGTCATTTCATGAATATATTGATGAAAATAACTGGGAATGGCCTGAGCTTACATGTGATGAACTAGAGTCAGCAATATTCTCAAGTTCAATTAAAACTGCTGCAGAGCCTGATTCAATTAATCACTTAATTATTTAAAACACATATTTCTACATGAAGAATGAATATTTTAAACTCTTTTTGAATCTCTTAAAAAATGATTATCACTCTGAATGCTGAAGAGAAGCTACTGAAGTAATCCTTACAAAATCTAACAGAAAAGTGTTAATTTCTAAGTTATATAGAGTAATATCTCTGTTGAACTGTTTGAAAAAAATTCTAGAAAAGATAATAGCTACTAGATTATCTTTTATAAGCTCTATTAGTGATTCTCTTCTATTTAATGAATAAATAAGAGATAGAAAACAATGTTCTGCAATTGATACTGTTCTCTCAGTTATTCATGATATTCAAGTAGTAAAGTATGAAGACCTGATCTCAACTGCAGTTTTTATTGATATAAAAGATGCATTTGATCATGTTTCAAAGCCTAAGATGATTCAAACTTTGAAGATGTTAAAACTGTCACTTTCTCTAATAAAATGAGTTAATTACTTCATGTCTAAAAGAATTATACAACTATTCTTTGATGAAAGAAAACAAGATAAGACTGAGATAAAAATAGAAGTATCACAAGAATCTTTAATCTCACCTGTTTTATTTGTAATATACACTGCATATCTATTCAAGAATAGAGAGATGAAAATAGTGAGATCTTCAAGTTATATAAATGATATTGATCTACTCTACAGTTTAAAGACAATCAAAGAGAATTTAGAAGTGATTGAGAAAGTAGTAAAGAAAATCTTTGTTAGAGCAGATATCAATTTAATTCAATTTGATATGAATAAAACTGTATTAATTCACTTTTTTCTCAGATTTAATGAGAAAGAACTAAGTTCAACTCTTTTAAGTAAAGAGATTAAACTCAGTTTGAATGTCAAATGACTAGAAGTATGATTAAACTCCAAGTTGAATTTTAAATATCATATTCAACAAAGAATCATCAAGACAGAGAGACTACTAAATAGTATAATCAGACTATCAAATACTGAGAGAGGTCTATTCTTCCAGGCTATGAGACAGTTATACATAGTCTGTATTATCTCAGTAGCTAATTATGAAGTTTAAGTTTAATGAAATAATTAAGATAACTTCACTGAACTCTTTCAAAGTCTATAAAACAGAGCTTTAAGAAGAATTCTGAGAGTATTCAAATCATCTTCTATTAAAGTAATGGAAATTGAAGCATCAATTTCATCTTCTGCTATTCAATTTGAAAAGACCTGTATAAACTATGCTCTGAGAGTCATGAAGATGAGCTTAAATTATATAATCAGAGAAAGAGTCTCTTCTTCATTTTTATCAGTTAACTCAGGAAATGAACTGGATTGAAATAGATTTCTTAATTGAAATGAGAATAATACTTTAAAGAAAATGCTCTCTCAACTGTATAGACTATATTCACTTATTAAGAATCAATTTTCTTTATTAAATATTGAGAAAATTGATCATGAGAAGATATCTCTCTGAAGAGCAAAGCTTGAATCTCTCATAGACTTATAAATAAGTGAACTATCTAAAGAGAGAGAATATGAACAGCATTTGAAAAAGATCTCTACAATTAATATAAAAAACTCTATTCTGATTTACTCAGATGACTTAAAAAATGAGAATTTAAATAGATTAGGTGCAGGCATTGCTTATACTGAAGATAATATCAATTTTATCTCAGATTTCTGGAATTTAGACTGTGAATCTGAAGTCTTTGATACTGAACTATTTGTAATAGTGAAAGCTTTCAAACTCATTGAAATAAAATCTTATAAAAGAGGAAATAGTTTGAAAGAGACATGAATATTCTCTGATAGTCAAGCTGCTTTAAAAAGACTTAGAAATAGTCAGATTCATAATGATCAAATGAATCTTGAACTGATTTTAAACTCTGTTTTGAAAATTCAAAATAGAAGAATATCAAAACTGATAATTCATCTGCATTGAGTTCCTGCTCATATGAATATTCATGATAATGAATTGACTGATTCAGCTGCAAAAAAGAGTTCAGAATTAAGCAGATCTATTTAAAAAACAGTATTCTGATCTTTTATAAAGAGAAAGATAAAAGAATCTTGTTTAAATAAGTGAAATAAAAGCTGGCAGAAACAAAAGAAGAGTATACATTATTCAAGATTTGAGATAAAATCAAAGTGAAAATCTTGTTCAATTAAATGTAAAAAGAAAATATTCTCATCTATAATTCAGCTGAAACTAGAACATGATTATTTGAAATTCTATATACAAAGATTTGATGATAGATTTGATTTGACAGAGTGCTCATTCTACAATGTGAATGAAAATTCTGAGTATATTATAATACATTGTGTATTATACAATAGTCTCAGAGTCAGATTAAAGAAGAAGTATGATTTAAATCAATTAAATATGAGGTTCTTATTCTTAACTGAGACAGGAATTAAATACTTAACAGACTTTCTATCAGAAACTCAAGCAGCTACAAGAAAATGACTAAATTCAGAAGTATCTGAATATGAAGAGATAGAAATTGATTAGATATAGTCTGTTAAAACAGCTATATACTATTTTTTAATAATTTTATTTTGTTATAGTCTCTCTTTACTATACTTGTTTCTTTCTGTTCTTTTCTATCTATCTATTTAATGTGTCTATCTTTAAGACTATGTTCTCTTTTCCTTTGTCATGATATTTTCAAATGATTTCAAAGTATCAGAAGATGTTGAAATACTGCAATTTATTAACAGTTTTTGTATTTTGAGCTGGAATTTTCTGATTTTGCATATCTGAAATTGATAAATGTATAATAGTTGACTCTATAGATATAGGAAAAACCCTGAGAACTAACGGTTCTCAGGTAGATATCATAGTCTCTGACTGCATACATCTATAATTGAAGAATAATAATAATAATAATCAGAGAATATTCATACCTCTTTTAAACTATTATCTCTTTTATAAGGTTTTATTTTCATGATTATTATTATTATTATTATTCTTCAATTATAGATGTATACAGTTAGAGACTATGATATCTATCTGAGAACTTTTAGTTCTCAGAGTTTTTCCTATATCTATAAAGTTAACTATTATACATTTATCAATTTCAGATATATAAAATTAGAAAATTTCAGCTCAGAATATAAAAACTGTTTACAAATTACAGTATTTTAACATCTTCTAATACTTTGAAATCATTTAACAATATCATAACAAAAGCAAAGAGAACACAGTCTTAAAGATAGATATATTAAATAGATAAATAGAAAAGAATAAAAAAGAAAAAGTAAAGTAAAGAGAGACTGTAACAAAACAAATTATTAAAAGATAGTATATAGCTATTTTAACAGACTATATCTGATCAATTTTCTCCTCTTCATATTCAGATATTTCTGAATTTAGTCATTTTCTTATAGCTGCTTGAGTTTCTGATAGAAAGTCTATTAAGTATTTAATTTCTGTCTCAGTTGAGAATAAAAATCTCATATTTAATGAATTTAGATTATACTTCTCTTTTAATCTGACTCTGAGGCTATTATATAATACACAGTGTATTATAATATACTCAGAATTTTTATTTACATTGCAGAATAAGTATTCTATTGAATTAAATCTATCATCAAATCTTTATATATAAGATTTGAAATAATCATGTTCTAGTTTCAGCTGAATTATAGATGAGAATATTTTCTTTTTACATTTAATTGAACAAGATTTTCACTTTGATTTTATCTCAAATCTTGAATAATGTATGCTCTTCTTTTGTTTCTGTCAGCTTTTATTTCACTTATTTAAATAAGATTCTTTTATCTTTCTCTTTATAAAAGATTAGAATATAATTTTTTGAATAGATCTGCTTAATTCTGAACTCTTTTTTGCAGTTGAATCAGTCAATTCATTGTCATGAATATTCATATGAGCAGAAACTCAGTGCAGATGAATTATCAGTTTTGATATTCTTCTCTTTTAGATATCTTTCAGATGAATGATTCTAGCTAGACTGACCGTGTGACCGTGTCTGAGACCAGGACCAGATTTTTTGATAGTCTCATTACCAATTTGACTGATCTCATTACATGGTTTTAACATTAGATAGTAGTCTTATACTGTCTCAGTGAGACTTACTGTCTACTCTTGTCACATTTTTCAAATGAGATCATGATTTTCACTTCTCAATTTAAATTATTTTTATTGCTTTAAATGACTTTAAATCTCATTTGAGTATTATCAAAAAGTGTTACTTTTTAAAAAATTAAAAATAGTCTAAAAAAAACCTTAAAATGTCTAAAAATAGTAACTTTATATCAAGAATGGGACTAAATGAGACCAAATGAGACCACTTTCTCATTTTTTTCAAGTCATGGTTCCATTTTAAGATCTGATATATAGTCACTTTACATGTTTTTTTGATAGCCAGTCCCAGCGGGATTCACGCCAAGAAATGTATGGGACCAGACCAAATGGGACCAAATGTGAAATTCATGGTCCCGGCGGCCAGTCTAATTCTAGCCACCACGAACTCGCTCGATTTTTCGAATAAGAACCCGCCGATAGATCCATCGAAAAGGCCTCGATCATACAAGCATTTTGACCCCATCGCCGACCGCATACCCCGTGTGGTGGTGGAGTTATCCAGCCAAACGTGGACCAGATGTTGTTCGAAACTCCTGTGTGGGATTATCCCCCGTTCTCCCCTACCACACCACAACCCCGGGCCAAATTGCCATACAAATTGTAAGGTGAAGAGACCTAGCCATATGCGCCAATCTTCTCGATTTTGGAAGATCTCTGATCTGTAATTGTGGAGATATCTGAGAAGTGACCTCCGCGAAAACCCTGTCCATCTTTGATGTTCCAAAACATCAACGCCAAGTCCCACCCTCGTACCGCCCTTCTCAATCTGGCCCATCCCCGGCAGAAAAATACAAAAAGATACCTCAGCAATAATATTAAGCACATAATTGACAGACACTTCTGAAGTGCAATCTCTGTGAATACCCTGTCTGTCTTCAGTGTATCTAGACATCAATGCCAAGTCTCAACCCTTGTATCACCCCTCTCAATCTGGCCCATCCCTGGCAGAATAATACAAAAAGATACCTCAGTAACAGTATATAATATTGTAAGAATAAGTGCTCGCAGGCGATTATTCGGGTGTTTGCAGCTTGGCGTGATATGTACTGTTAACTACTAGAAGTATTCGCGGTAGAAAGATAAAATATAGAGATTAAATATATAATAGCATTCAAGCTGAGTTATGAATAGTATTCACAAACTCCAGTTTATATAGTTATGTATAGTCAAGAGCTGCTAGCTCTATTGATTACACAAGAGATAGAAATAGAGATAAAGAATTCATAAGAAGTGAGATTTCTTACATATTCCCCCCTCTCTAAGACTTCATCTGTGAAGTCTTTCACTGAGTGACTTTATAGAATCAGCTCAGTACTGCAGTAATACTCACTAAAAACTCTTTATATCTATAAAAAATCTCAGTGAGGAAAAAATCTCTTATTACTGTAAAGAGAAAAGAGTCTGTCACTCAGTTTCTTATTCTATGAGATTCTTTATAATCTATAGATTCTTCTTTAACTATTATACAGATTTATCTCACATCTTTTATACAGAAGAGTTTCAGTTGACTCTCAATTATTTTCATGAGATTCTTATATAATCATTATACAGATTCATCTCACAGATAAATCACTCTCTATAAGATTATTTCTATTAAAGAGAAGTATTTATAAGTTAATCTTTCACTCATTCTTATGAATCATTGTTCTTTAACACTGTAGAATTATGAGAAATTTTTCATTCTTTCATTAACTCTGTAGAATTTTAGAATCAAGATATTCACAGTCTGCAATTATTCTTTATAGTCATATAGAAAGATTCAGATCTGTGATTCATAATCACTCTTATTTACTAAAGTAATCTGACTGTTCTGTAGAATCATTCACAGTGTAAGTAAATCTCTCTAGAGTAGTATAAATATCTCAGATCTATCTGTAGAATCTCATCTTCTTTTCTCTTTTTCTGTAACAGCTCTTATTCTTATAAACTATGAGTATTCTTATTCATCTGTGAAGTGTTTTCACTTAGATAATAGAGAGAGAGTATTTCTGACAATATTCATATATTAATTCAAGAACTTCTCAAGAATAAAAAATTTTTCAATTTTAATATCTTTGTAAATAATATCTGATTATCACTGAGTTTCTTGTGAGTGTCTCTGTAACTTCTCTGATCACTTTTTACTAGCTGATAAAGCAGAGATGCTGCTGCTCATGATCATGTCTTCACTTCTCTCAGCTCTGTCATCATATCTGATCTTCAGGCCAGTAGCTCATCTCATGTCTTTCTCAGATCAGTCTCTGGCTTCAAGCAGTGCAGTCTTCTTCTTTACTGTAAGTCTTCTTATAAGTAATTTCTTACAGACTCTAGCTGACAGTTCTTATAAAGCTTCTGATGTTATCAGTGTCTTCTGTGATCTCACAGGTCTATGATCACCTTCTCTCTGCCTGCACAATCTCTGACCAGGCATATGTAAATATGTCTAGGTTTTTCATCAATGGTCCTCGCACCGCAGCGCATTTCCACAATTTCATTGTCAATGAGAGATGAGTTCCCAGGTATCTGCAAAATCCAGGTAATCAAGACAATGTAAATATCATGAATTTGTGATAAGAGTTGATCTGAATAGATAAGCTCTCTCTTCATATCTCAATTATTTTTAGAATGAATACTTCAGTATAACTGAGAGAGTGAATATAGCTTTGTAAGAAGTATCTGATTATATATACAGACAGTCAGCTCTCAAGACTCTGCTGCAACTGTATATACTCTGATATCTGACTTCTCTGAAGTCTGTGCATTTCTGATAATCTTTATATCAAATATAATAATTATCTGTACTGTGAGCATGATACTCTCTGCTTCTTTGAAGAAGAAAATTGATAGTTGTGAGAGAATTGAGTGTCACAGATATTAAGAATATAAGTATAAGTTTTCTTTATTTTTTCTTTATTAATCTCTAAATTGTGTTTATAACTCTGTTATTTTCTGTTTTTTAACTTTTAATAAGAATATAATTTCTTCTTCTCTTATATACACTGCAGACTGTTCATCTCAGTAGAAATTCATTATCTTATAGACTAGAACTTATAAATGACAGTGTTAATATCTTTATTATAATCAGATTCTTAGTGAAGACTGTATTATTCTGACTTATCAGAATTCATAATATAAAAGTCATGTCTCAGCTTCTGCAGATGTCTTATCTGTCTGAATAATTCTCAAGTGAACTTATTTATCTTGTCAGAATACTTTTATCACTGAACCTTGAATCAGAGCTCATGATCTTACTTCTCTGAGTTAATAATTTCTTTGACCTGATATTCTCTTTCACTCTCTAGTACTTTATAGACAGAGTGATGAGTCACAGAATACTCTTCTGAGAATTTCTTATATTTATAAAGTAAAGAGATATGAAAAATATTATATATCTATAACTCAGATGATAGTTTCAATCTGTAAAACTATAAACTAACTTTCTTCACAATCTTATAAGACTTTGTTTATAAGAGATTCAGTTTCTTACTAGATCTCTGTATAATAATATTTTTTAAACTCAGTCAGACTTTATTATCTTTCTTGAAACTCTTTATAATATACTTAAAGTCATAGTATCTCTTCTAATACTCTTGAGTCTTTCTTAAGAATTTACAGACTTTCTCTCAGATCTTCTGAATTCTCTCAGTCTGTTCATAAGCATTATCACACTTTATAGTGTACTCTCACAGGTTTATCAAGATCATTCACAGATGAGTCTTAATGAGTATTTCAAAGAGAGTTTTATCTGTACTGACATGCTTTGAGTTGTTATATATAAACTCTGTAAGTGATAATCAATATACTTAGTTATTCTGATTATAATTGACAAAGCACTGCAGATACTATTTCAATATACTTATCAGATATTCTATCTGATTATCTGTCTGTTAATAAAAAGCTGTACTTAGATCTCATGAGATCTTCAGTATAGTTATCAGGTCAGATCAGAACTCTTTTATAAAGATTGATTCTCTGTCTGAGACAATGTTTATAGATAACTCATGTAATCAGATCATATCATAGATAAAGATATAAGTTAAATTCTTTAACTTCAAGTTCTTATGAGTGAATATAAAGTGTGTTATCTTGATGAAGTAATTCACTATTATCAGCACACTGTTAAAGCAGGTATTATATATGTTCTTACTTTCAGAGAGACTTATAAGAGTATTCATTTCTAGCTGTTTTCAAGATTTTCATAGAATGAATAGAGAAGTAAGTTCTTTATATAATCTGAACTGTACTATTCATGAATTCTGATAAATAGTATAAGAATTCACTATCTTCTTTATAAGTTCTTGTATCTTTGATCAGAAGTATTTTCTTATAAGCAACTTATAAGTTCTAGTATTTATAAAATAATCTACTAGAGAAGAGTTATAATATCTTTTAATAAGTTCTATATATAGAAACTCATTTACAGACACATAAATTCAGCTCTCTCTTTATAAGAGATTATTTAAGTCTCTTTAATTCTTTATTTCTGCAGAGTTAATCCCTGCTATAAGCAGTTTCTGAATATACTGAGTATATTCATTCTTCAGTTACAGTTCAGATAATCTGAATAGAAGATCTTATAAAGACTTATACTCTGTTTTTTCTTACATTAGATCTTTCACAGCACTTCTCAAAGTCTGCAAACTCTTCAGATTATAGATACTCTCTTCAAGAATTCTTGTGAAGATTCTCAGAGTGTTAACTCTCAGTATTGTAGAGAGTAGTTATACAGACTTCTTCTCTCTCTTCTTTCTCTTCTCTTATAGAGAATTGAGAGACTCTTCAGTTAATCTCTTTACAACACTCAGTCTGAGTATCTTATAAAGCTTTTCTATCTTCTCTAGTCTCTTTATATCTGTCACTCTGATCTTCTTAATATAGTCTGATCTGTAAGAGAGTCTATCTGCTGAGTTCTTAGTTCTCTTAATATATTCTATCTTAAATCAGAACTTACTCAGTCTCTGAGCTCAGTGAACCTGCTACTGCAAGAGTTTCTTAATTAAAGTAAACTGTTATAAGCTATTATAATCAGTTTTAACAGTAATCACTGTTATAAGGTTCTCAAAGTAGTAATATCAGTGATAAAAGAATTTCACTATTATGAGAAGCTTCTAATCATGAATACTATAGTTAATCTCTGTGAGTTGTATCTTCTATAAGAAAAAGGTCACTGAAACTCAGTTCTCATTTAACTATAGTTGTAAGACTATTTCTGAAATTGTAAAGAAGAAGATATCTGTCTTTAATCTGATTAAGAGTAAGAAATTAAAGTGAAATAGTATTACTGTATCTGTGAATATCTATTTCAATCTTACAAAGACTCTGTGAGCTTCTGAAATAAGAAAGTTCTCACAGTTCTCTCTTCTTAATAATCTTTTCATTCTCTATTTATAGAATAACTTCTTCTTATTTTCACTCTTCAGTATGTCTGTAAGAGTCAAGAAGATTCTTATAAATACAAAGATAAACTATCTATAGAAATTCATAAAGCTTAGAAAGATCTGAATCTTATAAATACTAGTTAACTTCAGTTATAATAGAATAGTCTCAATCTATGAAGATTTTATCTGAATATCATCTGCAGTGATTACATATTCTAGAAAATTAATCTGACAGACACTGAAGTTACACTTTATAAGCTTAATATACAGTTCTGCCTTATCTAAGATCTTCAATATACTTTATATATACTCAGTGTGTTCTTTCTTCTTCACAGAGTACATCATCACATTATTTAGATATATTATCACAAAGACATTCAGATATATATAAAGTGTTTTATTGATAAAAGACTGAAAT